AAGGACTTTCGACCTATCTCGTGCTGCAATACTTTGTACAAGGGCATAGCTAAAATCTTAGCTAATCGTTTGGCTGCTATTCTACCTTCCCTGGTGAGTCATTCGCAATCTGCTTTTATAAAAGGTAGATCTATTACTGATAATATACTACTTGCTTCTGAGTTGGTAAAGGGCTATCAGTCAAAAACTATTAGTTCACGGTTTGTGGTCAAAATTGATCTAATGAAGGCTTTCGACTCTGTGAATTGGGAGTTTCTGTTCGATGTTTTGACTGTTATGGGGTTAAAAGGGAAATTAATGAACTTGCTTAGGGCTTGTGTCTGCACTCCTATGGTCAGCGTGTCTCTTAATGGTGGCTTATGTGGATTTTTTGGAATGAAAAAAGGGTTGAGGCAGGGTGACCCTTTGTCACCTTACCTGTTTACGGTTGCTATGGAAGTGTTGGATGGGTTAATGAAGAAAGCTGCTCGTGATAATCAAATCCCTTACCATCCTCAATGTAAACCCCTAGCCATAACACATCTTTGTTTTGCTGACGATTTGTTAGTGTTTACAAATGGGTCGATTCGAGGGGTGGCAGGCATTATGCGATTGATGGAAGAGTTTTATAGCTTGTCTGGTCTCCGTTGCAATCCTGCCAAGTGCCAGTTATTCTGTGCAGGAATTCCAGAGGAGGAAAAGCAAACTATTTCTGTCTTTTCAGGGTTCCTTTTAGGTCAGCTGCCTGTGAAGTACCTAGGTGTTCCTCTAATCACCAGTAAGCTATCTAGAAGAGATTGTCGTGTCTTGGTAGATAAGATAACTCATAGAATTCACAGCTGGAGGGCTAAACTACTGAGTTTTGCGGGTAGAATTCAACTTATCAGCTCGGTGTTGTCTAGTATTTTGCAGTATTGGATGAACATATTCCTGCTTCCTAAATTTGTCATCTCTGAAGTTGAGAGAATATGCAACCAGTTCCTTTGGGATGTCACTGATACTAGTTTGAGAACTAGAGCACTGGTTGCTTGGAAGTTTGCTGCTCGCCCAACGAAGGAAGGTGGCATGGGAATTAGAAACTTTGTTGTTTGGAACAAAGCTTGTGTGATAAGGCATGTGTGGAATGTTCTTATATCTAGTGGATCTTTATAGGTTGCCTCGGTGCAACGTTACCACATCAAGCAGAAGTCATTTTGGGATTTGAAAGAGGGAGTTGCTGGCTCCTGGGTTTGGAAGCGTTTGCTGAAGTGTAGATCTGATATTCACCATCTTGTTTCTGTTCAGGGGGCCTCACTCTTTGGGGTGGTGAACCTATGGCTCGGTATTCTGTGAAAAGGGTGTGGGAGTCCATTAGATTGTCTGATTCTCCTGTGGTCTGGTATGAACTGGTCTGGAGTAAGGAAGTGATTCCTCGACATGGTATCATTCTCTGGTTAGCTATCCTGGGCAGATTGAGAACTCAGGAAAAATTGCTTGCCTGGGGAAAGCCGGTTTCAGGGTTTTGTGTGTTTTGTCCAGGGGGGATTGAGACATGTTTCCATCTTTTCTATGCTTGCCCCTATATGCAGTCGGTTGTGACTAGTTGTTTGACGTCTCTGGCTCCTGTTAGTGGCCTGAATGCATGGGAAGAGGTGGTCGACTGGTGTGCTAGTAAGTGGAAAGGAAAGGGTTCTGCAGCAGTTGCTTGTCGTGCTATTTGGAGTCTCGCTATTAGTCTTATCTGGCGGGAGCGCTGTGCAAGATTGTATGGGGAGCATTCTATTAAAACCCCAGGTGTGCTTTGCAGAGAAGTTGGAAGAATCCTGAAGTGGCGAGCGGAGATTGACTTGGACCTCCAGAAGAGCCTTAGCATGATCAGATTGGATTGATTTCAAATTTTGATTGTATTGTTTTCTGATTCTCTGAACCTTTGTTTTTGTTTGAGAGGCACTCGTTGAGATGCCCGAGCTTAATGAAATTTTTGATTAACCATAAAAAAGAAAATTCAGGCTTGTTCTTCATACACTCTGTTATTAGTGCTTGTTCTTCATCCTATTATTGCCTTCACTTCTCCTTCTACCTGCAAACTCACTACCAAATCAAGTTAATCAAATCAATATTTTTGCTTCCTCGCACAAGCTGAAATATTCTCGCCGGAGCCACCTGCAATAGTACTCTGCCTCCGCGAGGTAGACCCCTTTCTCCCATGCCACTTCCGGACCCTTTTTAGATGGAAAATATCCACAGACACCACCATTTATGGAAATACTCAACATATGAGCAGTGATGCAGGCTTCAATCCACTTAACAAACTTGCTAGGTAAACCCATTGCTTCAAGAACCTTAAACAAAAAAGACCAATCCACAGCATCAAAAGCTTTCATAATATCAACCTTCACTGTACATCTCTATGACATGTTCTTTATGGTATAACCATTGACAAGTTCATTTGCTAACAAATAGGGTTGGGAATCGGTGTGGTTGCGATTAACTGCACCAAAATTTGCAGTTAACCGCAACCAAAATGTGGCCATTTATGCCAATTGCGACCGCACCGCAAACGGTTTGCGGTTAATCACTAACCGCAAGTGCGGTTAACGGTTAATCACGGTTAACCGTGTTACTAGCTATTCTTATGGTGTAAGGATATTTTGGTCTATGGTTGTGTCACTGTGTCACGGTTAACCGTACTAACTGTGGTTAAACGTAGATAACCGCGTTAGTAATCGTTTAAAATGTGGTTACATGTTGTTCAGTTGCGGTTGCAGTTAACCCGCAAATCGCAAAACATGCAATATTGATAACCGCAACCGCAAAATATCCTATTTTTTCGATTTGCGGTTAACCACTAATCGCGCGGTTAGCGGTATAACCACAAAACTACAACCAAATTTCCACCCCCACTAACAAAATGTTAGCACTGATGCTCTTTCCTTGGACAAAAGCTGATGGATTTTTACTAATGTGACTAAGCAGCACACTAGCTAACCTGTTAGCTAGGATTTTTGCTACGCATTTATAAAGCACATTGCAACATGAAATAGGCCGGAAGAACTTCATCTGGCATGCATTTAAGACTTTGGGAATTAAAGAAAGTAGAGTAGAGTTAACCTATTTAGGCATATGTCCAGTGGCGAAGAATGATAGTACAACAGCTGTAACTTCATCACCTACAGTCCCCCAAGCAGCTTTGTAAAAATCAACTGAGAAACCATTTGGTCCTGGGGCCTTATTCAAACTCATAATCATCATTGCAGTAACTACTTCCTCTCTGGTGACCTCTTTACACAAATTATCAGCATCTGACCCTTGAATTTTATGATAGAGAAGAGACTGCAACTCATCAATAGGAGTATCCAACGTAACACATCTGTATTCTTCTTCCCTAATAGAACCTTATAGAATGCCTCTGCTTCTTCTCCAATTTGCTCAATATCAGTTATTTCAGAATCACCTTCTTTTTCAACAGTTGGATTGTGTTTCTATGTTGCCTAACTTTTAGAGATTGGTGAAAATATTTTGTGTTCAAATCACATTCACTAATCGCATGAATTCTTGCCTTATGCTTATAAACCATTTCCTCAGCTAGCTGCAACTCCCTGCATTCTTGGGCACACTGAGCTTCTTTCTCAAACACTTCACTGGATGGATTAGTCATTGCACTTTTCTGAACCATACTCAAACTCTGCTCAGCCTCTCTAGCTCTCAACGAGATCTCATAATATAATTCTTTGTTAATTTCTTTGAGCTTCCTGTTAAGCAACCGTAGCTTCTGACTGACTTTATAAAAAAGGATAGCCAGAAACTTGAACACTCCAGGCCTCCGGCATCACCTCATTAAACTTCGGATGAGAGCACCAAAATGCAAAAAAATTAAAAGGTTTAGGAAGGGTTTTTTGCTCATAATTTGTATTAACCAGTAGTCCAGAATGATAAGAAGTAGTCCCAGACATAGTGGTACTTATCAAACTACCTAAAAACTTAGTAAGCCATTCACAGTTCACAAAGGCTCGATCAATTTTCCTCGAGATGGGATTTCCAGCTTGCTTATTTATCCAAGTAAACTTCTCACCCAACACCTTATGCTCACTCAATTGTACTCTATCCAACTAGTCTTGAAAGTCATCAAGCCCACTAGTGTCAGGCGAAGCCCCATTAGAAGCGTCACCAGAACATTAATTAAAATCACCAATAACCATCCAGGGAAGATTAGAGGTCTACAAGGGTATCATTTGAGCATAAGCGGCCCTTCTCTCGGCCTCATCATTTGAACCATATACAGTTGTGATTCTACAGTGTGTTACACCCTTAACATCCAAATGTATAAAGTTTGCAATTGTTTCCAGAGAGGTCACAGTAAGCTCTTTTTTATGAACGATCCATATTCTACCCAGGGACGGAGCCAGGATTTCGAGACCGGGTGGGCAGAAAATATATAAATGTAAATAAAAATAAAATTATTTAAAAAGTCTACAACGTTCTTTGAGATTATTGAAATCTCTCAAATAGCATATGGGCTAAAATTTTTAGCTATCTTTCTTTCAATATAAATAACTAAATCATTAACAAGAAACTCATCATTTATTTTGTTCACAATCTATTTTCCACTCTCTTTATACATGAAAACATGCACGATCACATGTACCTTTAGAAATTTGGAAAAGTTAGAAGAAGACATATCAACCTATCAACAAAATAAAATTCCTTTGACACGAATCTTTCTGTTCATTCCGACATAGATAAAAAAAATAGATCATATATAAAGAGCTAAAAATCCCAAGTGAACTAAATAGAGGTTGATTTTTTCATTTATAGCTGGATTAAAATAACAAAAAGAATGAAAAAGAGTGGGTATCCGTTTGCTTTGGTCCAAGACCTTATGGAGGAGAATTAAGATAATAAAGTCTAAAAAGAAGTTATAGCAAAAATGAGTTTCGGTGGAGAAACCATTAATAAATTACCAAACTTAAAATTTATAGCCTCACATAATCGACAATGCAAACGGTTCAAGGATGATCATTTGGAAATAGTATACCAATCATCAACCACAACATTTCATAACAGCAACCTGGTACTGGTTTTTTTCTCTACCCATCTGGCGAGCATAAGCATACATATATATATTGACTATATAATGTCGAAACAAACTGGTCTCTGTCTTCTGTTTTGTTTCGTTTCGTTTCCCCCACACTGTTCTCTCTCCTTTTTTTATTTATTATTTTTTATTTAATTCCTTCCTCTGCTAAAAAGAAAAGACGTACACGTCCTATATTGACAATACTCGAGTATCGTAACGCGGAAACTCGCTTTCTTCATTCTTTCCCGGCCTGCATACACCACATTGAATCAATATGTGATAATTAATGATATTAGTACTGTTTTGCTATTTGTTTGATTTATCTCTAACATAACACCTTGACTGCGAGTTGTTAAATTTACATATGCTTTGGACCCGTACGTTAATATCAAAGATGATAATATATCACTACGGAAAGAATATTAATACCGAACTTGATCGTGCATACGTTATTATGATTACCTTGGAGCTATAAGAGAGACATTAGTGCTAGAGATGGGTAGTGGCCAGCTGATAACCTAAATGTGGTATGGGGGAGGCGGGGAGGCATATTTGTAATGAGGAGGAGGAGATGGCTTGTGCACCGGCGGCGGCGGCGGTGGTGGAGACTTGTGCGCCGGTGGCGGTGGAGACTTGTACTTGTATGGCTTATGGGGCGGCAGTGGTGGTGACTTGTAGACAGGTGGCGGTGGAGACTTGTACTTGTATGGCTTATGGGGCGGCGGTGGTGGTGGCGGCGGCGACTTGTGGACAGGTGGCGGAGGTGGTGACTTGTACTTGTATGGCTTATGGGGCGGCGGGGGTGGCGACTTGTAAACCGGTGGTGGTGGTGGAGACTTGTGCTTGTAAGGCTTCTTGGGGGATGGTGGTGGAGGAGACTTGTAAACCGGCGGCGGCGGCGGTGGAGACTTGTAAACCGGTGGCGGGGGTGGTGGGGACTTGTATTTGTAAGGCTTCTTGTGGGGTGGTGGTGGTGGAGACTTATGGACAGGTGGAGGAGGTGGCGGTGGGGACTTGTACTTATTGTATGGATCGTGTGGCGGCGGCGGAGGCGGGGACTTGTGGTGGAAATAGGGAGAGGGCGGCGGAGGGTATTTCTTTGGTGGTGGAGAGGAGTTACCGTAGGTAGCTGTGATCTCAGAGGGCAAGAAGCTAAAGGAAAATATTGCCACTAAAAGAGTGGCAATGAGAGAAGCCATTTTTGGTTCACAGCTAGAGCGGGTGTTGGATGCCTTTCTCGAGTGGCTTCTTTGCCCCCTTTATATAGATAATCAAATATTGGCCGTAGGCAGTTCACCCATTGAGTAATTACCATTCATAGATAAATTAAAATTGCATAAGCTTTATTTCAAATCTCACAGTCTGCATCCTCTGCCTTTAAAGTCAAGATCGAAAATGTACCCTACACTAATTTTTTGGTAATATATACTTTCACAAACATAAATTCTATAGAGACTAAACTCCACATAAATATTATATATATTGTGTGATCTACGTTTGTCTGTGATATTGGCATTTTTTCTACTATTCTTTTTAGAGATGGTTGGGTTAAAGATCAAAATTCAAGATACGATCTACTTTGTTACTTTGCACAATGTATCTCTAATTTTACAAAACTAAGCATCAACACGTACATATTATTGAATATATTACTTAATTTAATTAATGGAAAAAATTGTCTCCTTAACATGTATTTACATAATCATCCATAATTCTTGTTTAGCCAGAGTGATATGATTTTTAACATAGTGATAATATATATTGTATCATAGTAATAAGAATTGTACCACCTCTGATAAACAAAATTATATGCGCTTCTCTTGTAGAGGATATCATCACTTGAAAACGGTTGTCACCGGCCTAAACTGTATGCCTACATTAACATGCCACTATCATTGAACCGAGAAGATATTATCATAGTTTTATTATACTTTCGAAGAAAACATTGAAATACATGGTGAACTTTCTATTTTAGATTTTGCTCCTTTTTTTTAGGAGGGGTCAAGATACATGACTCATGTTATGCACGAGTAATTATATCTGAATTCTTTATTCAGAAAATTAAGATATAAGCGTGGAGAATTAAAGACATTTTTATTTTTTCTTGTTTTTTAATTTGCTCATACTTTCTTCGTTTTAATTCGGATTTCAAATTTTTTTTTTTTTTGCACAAATGGAACGAGTTCGTTGTACTCTTCAAAATGAGATCTATTTCAATATTTTTTGTGAAGAAAATTTTGTTGGCTCTCGTTACCAACTCCATTCCATATGGTATCTTCTTCGTTTTGAATTCGTTTTTTAAAATTTTTGCATAGAAGAAACGAGTTCATCATGATCTATTGAATTTACGAATTTCTCAGTGAACAAAATACAGGACCAAAAAGTACCACACAATACCACCCTGGTACGAGGTGGTATTTTGTGGTCACACAATGTTGAAAGTCGTAAATGACAGTTAGTATACTCCTACTATCATGTATTCAACCATCATATAGTCTTGGTATGTTCATACCACCATAGTACACTTTTCATACCATATGATATACTCTTATTTCAATATCAGTCAATACCATATGGTATAGACTGGTAAAAGATGACTCAATTTTTTTTGTTCTAAAAATATATCAAAGTGAATATAATTTTGAAGAGCACAATTAATATAATCTAACTGTGCAAAAAAAATTAAATTCCATCGTTCGTTAAAAATTAAGGGGAAAAAATTAAAGACTTTTCATGAGAAAAAAGGCGTTGATGTGCTGATTCTAATTGGGTTATACATATTTATTGACCACAATGTTATTCATGTGATCCGCTCTCGAGGATATTTTTTATATTATACAAATTTATTACATCATCTGTAACCTGGAAATTGGGTGGAGGACTGAGGCAGGCTGCTAGTGCTATCAAAATTATATTCATATATTATGAACAATTTATTAAAACATAAGGTATGATGACTTTCTGTGAATATAAACAGGGTGGTGCTGACGATTTGTTGGCTGGCCCTCTGGTATAGGTCCTTCAAATTATAGGGCCCTCCGTATCTGCATTATATACATGACTAATTATTATTACGACTATTGGATTTCGATTATGAATTTAAAATATTAGAAAATTTATGAATTGATTTTTGATTATGTGTCTAAAAATATAATATTAAAAAACTTAAGTAAGAAGGCTAGTGGAACGAACAGATCACAAGAGGGCTTTCTTATTAGACTTTTATGAAAACATATAACATAACTCATATTTTGTTGTGTGTTTCTTAAATAGAAGAAAAGAAATAACATTGTTGATGCTTCATTTTTAGCATTATTAAATTTGTACTAGCTATACAATAATGCTAATTAATTAAACAATAATTAATTAAATGTTAACTAGAATAATTAAGTACAATCTACCAATAATAGAAAAGAAAAAATAACTAAAATAATTTATACCATACTAAACTTTAGACTAAAAAGTTATCAGTTTTCCCTCTACAATTTAGTTTACTCTATTATTGGTTTATTCTATTTAATTTTTCTAAAATTATTTTCATCTTCTACTCTCGTAACCTATTAAGGAGAGTCTAGTTAATTGAATTATTGTTCATTTAGTTATTATGTGCATTCTTTTGTTTGGATTTTTTTATTCAATCTCTCAAATAATAGATTTTTTTAATTACATCTTTCTATTTAAAGTTACTCTTTAATTTAAATAATATTAGAGAGAAATTATTTTTGAATAATTCTATGGTTTTTACTGATTGATTAATGTTTTGTTTATATTTTATTAAATTTTTAGAAAATAATTTGAGTCACTTCTCGTTTACTGAACAAGGCCTAAAAAATCTCAAGACTGACACTAAATATAAACTCTCTAAATTTTCATTCATTTGTATAGGTATATTGCGAAAAGATGAGGCCATTATACATAGTTTTTAACTTTTGCACAATTTAGGGCTATTTTTTTATTTTTAGTAACTTAGATTTTTCGGTGTTAAATATATTGGTTTGTAATAATAGACCAATTATCTTTTTGCCCTATGAAATAAAATCAACAAATGTTTGCTCCAGTTCCTACATGGTATTGGAGAGAAATTTTAATTGTTTTAATATGTTTTTTTTTTATTTCCAAATCCTTCTTCTCACTGAGATTTTAGAAGAGGAAACTATCTTGTTTTATTTCCCTTTCGGTCTCGTTTTCGATTCATTTTCTTTTTGTCCAATTCTTGATCCACTATTCTCTTGCGTTCAATTCTTTTGATTTTCTCAATTCATTCTCTCTCTATTGCTCACGCATTTCGCTGAGGGAAGGTTTGTTTGGGCTAACCGACTCTTACCTTTATCATCGTTTTCAAAAATTAAAATATGAATATTTCAAATATGACAATTACGTTTTCGTTTATCAAACTCGTCTTCCGTGTACGTGACATCCTCTTATCAAAACAATTATACAAGTTTCATATTTGAACATTTTTTATGAGCAAAATAATTAAGATGGTCAATGAATTTTTTCGACATGACGAACTTCTGCAACATAAGAATTCAAATCAGGAAACCTTTTCCTGGACATGCCTGTAATCCCTCACCAGAGTACCACACCCTCAAAGCAGGATTGCCTATTGTAACAAATCAATTAAGGTGTTTAGGTAAAGGAATTACAAGCTCCTAAGTTAAGACTTTCTTCACCACTGGATGAATCTAATTTTGATCCGATGGTTGTATGAAATAAAACTGAGTGGCTAAAGATGTGAAAGGGAATCGTCAAGAAAAGAAAATGCAAATAAAGACATGATGTAGTAGCCAGTAGGTAGGATCATTTAATTTATCCAGAATTCTCGGGAAGAGACAAACCTTCAAGTAATTACTAATTTATAACTGTAAAACCGACACGGTAAGAAAAGCAGCAATACTTAATTAAGGAGCCGCGCCGTCCCTACCAGCCAGCCAAGTGGCTGTAAAATGTAAATACTGCCGATTTACGGAGATACAGACCGGGAAATCGGTACGGAGAACCGAGGACCCGAAACAAACATACATTAACGCAGATGACTGAGACTTGCAGGCTGCAGCTGTCTGCTCTCTACGGTTTCTCTACTTAAAAGAAAAGTGTCGTGAACAGGAGGAGATCCATGGACTGAATGTGAACGAGCGGAAAATATGGAGGACGTAGACTTTTCGTGCATAGAAGCGTTCCTCTAATTTAATTTCCTTTCTGAAATGGGCATTGACAACAAGAACAAGATAAGCAGTCGGCAACATGAACCAAAACGAACAAATTTCCAGATGAAATGAACCCAATAGAGCGCCAATAGTTTGCTTTTGGTTCTTGCGTATTTAATTACGTACCATTACTGCATTAAATCATTATTGTCTCATATTCACATATCAATGGCATGCGGCGTGGCTATTTGGTTCGGGTTTTTTTTGTTTTAATCGAAAGCGGACCGTATAATTCGGATTGAGACCAGACCGAATAGCAAACAATCAAATCTCATATTCAGGCTTAGATTTGATCTAAAAAATCGTTCGGGAACTGACCGAAAACTGGATACAGACCGGATAAGAGAGCCCAACACCCAAAACTTAACCAACTCCTCACCCTTTGAGGCCTCAGGTCACTCAAATCTTCACAAGCTCAATCTAAAATCAAGACTGAAATGGGACCGGACCGGGGCAAGACCAGATCGGACTGTATCCAATCCAATCTTTAGTCCTTATATTCTCGAAAAGATCAGACCGGAACCAAATCAATTTGGCCAATTTAACTAGACCGGACCGTATACCCAACCTAACATGCATAGCCTTACTATATCATATCAAGCTTATTATCTACTGGTGTTATTATAGGTTTAGCGTGCATTTTTATGTTAAAAATAACCACTATTGTAAGTAACGTGTTTTTCTAGAACTAGCAAAGACCCACTCGCTTCGCTTCACGCAAATGAAAAATAATGTTAGGGAAACAATGCCAAATCAGTTTACCCCTAACGATAGGGAAGTAGTGAGGACAATATAAGCTGATTGAACTGCGTCTCCTACCGTCGATTCGTAACTGGGTTTTTCCTCAATTTGAGTCGGCGACAGAGCAACAATGTTTCACACAATTTCCCCTAGCCCTCATTCACTCTACATTCACACCATTGAGCGGCTAGCGAAATTAGATGAGTCTTGTGTATAGATCTATAAACCGAAAAAGAGTCACATAATCCAAAGCATCA